TTTATGTGTATATATATATATATATATATATATATATATATATATATATATATAAGAAAATAGAAGCACTTTTACTGGTGGACTCTGTATTTGTATGTGTGTAGATATAGGCTACACTACCATTCAGAACATTTTGGGGGTAGTAAGATTTTGTGTTATTTTCGAAAGAAATTAATACTTTTATTTAGCAAGGATGCATAAAATTAACGAAAGCGATACTAAAGATAATTATAATGTTACAAAAGATTTCTGTTTAAAAAATGCTGCTCTTTTGAACTATTCATCAAAGAATCCTGAGAAAATGTATCAGTTTCCACATCTTTAACACTGTTAATAATCAGAAATGTTTCTTGAGAAGCAAATCAGCATATTAGAATGATTTCTGAAGGATCATGTGACACTGAAGACTGACCACAAACCTTGGAATGGTCAGTGTATGAGACAAAAGACACCGTTGTTTAATAAATATAGTTTGCTAGTCAAACCATAGCCTGTTTACTGACAGCAAATAAAAGATGTACATGATTTTATAGGAAAATGTATTTATTCAAAATTCTAAACAGATCGACAAGATAACATATTTCAGAATTCATTGAGCTCAAGAAGGTCAAATGTCATCCTATTAATTGTTGATACATGGGTCTATCACTGCTGTTAACAGCTGATGTCATAATAAATGGGTCTAGTAGTATATGAGTACACATATGCCAGGTTTGGCACATACTATAAGACCACCATCCCAGATTTTAGAAGTTACACATTAACAGCCATCATGCTTTGCTGAAGTTTTGTCAAGCCAACAGCCTCTCCTGAAACAGAGCGAACCTTTGACAGGAGCGGCTGACTGAAGACAACCAATCACATCAGCTCTGCTCATAGCATTTTGTGTCATTATTTGATCTATTAGAGCTGAGTGAAGCTAGTGTGAGGTGTGTGTGGGCAAACACATGCAAAAATAAACACCTAAAAGACATGTAGGATGAGTTTAGCAAAAGTCGAACAAATACATGTCAGGATTGATTGCCCTTTAAATAACAAAAGACAATAAAATATAACTAAGCCTGACGGTATATACTGTAGATGTCATATCATCAGCATATCATCGCAAAAATGTCTCACTTTTGCATATCTCCCCTTTCTGTATTCTCTGTTCATGTTTTCAACAGATATTCTGTAAAGGTGAAGAACTGTAATTTTACTGTCCTCCTTTTCTCTTATATTTTTGTCTTAAATCATTTGGCCGGAGAGCAAAGAACACTGAGTTTGTCTGTAAACATCGATTTATTGACTTATTGTATTTTTTAAATCAAAGTCAAATGTTTTCCTGTGGTGTAATTGTCCTCATCTTGAACTGTGAAGTACAGAAATGTGTCAAAATGAATAATGAGGACACAATGCTATACCCTAAAAATAAAAAAAAGAAATCCAATTTTCACCCATTTTTGAGTCCTGTGAAGTGACTCACAAAGTCTGTTTTTTTAATAATGGTTAGTCTCTCAGGAAACGTTGAAAAGGTTGCTAATCAGGATCATTATCATGCTTGTAGGTTTAGACGAGGGAGAGAGTTTTAACAAAAATGATGTTACTGACTTTTCAGTTGAATTTTTCTCTGAACACTCCATTAATAATCCATTAGTCTGTTATGAGATCTAAGCTCTTAGTCAGAGATTGGAATGAGACTTTGGAAACTCTTCCAGCCCTGGAGGCGAATAGACACATTGTGAAAGCAGTGTGATCGTTTCGGAAGTTCAAAAGCCAGAACCAGAGAGCAAAAGAGTTTGGTAATGTATTGTGAGGTGTTTGACTCATTCATGATGATTGACAGCAAATGTTGTGCAATTTGAAGTTCATTTTGAAAGCATCTCCCTCGAGCAAAAACCATCACCTGGCTGCAACGTGATCATACATAAGAGTTATGTATCCAAAACCTTGCCAGGTGCAAGTTCATGTCATTCCTGTAAATAAATACACCGAATTTAAACAAACTGCATTCACTTAGAGAAAGGGATAAAGGGACTAAAACAATCATTGTTTTGTCTGGCAGAATGTCCGATATCCCTTTAATGCAAAACTGTTCTTATAGGGCTTGATAATATAGCCTACCAGCTGCTTATAAGAGAGGCCAATGTTTAGATAGTCTCCACGGTTGATTTAAATGCCTTGTTTTGTTCACACACTTGCAAATGAATGCTCACTATCAAGGAACATTTTCAGTCTGCATCATAACGTGCCAATTTACAACACAAAAGGCAATAACAACACAGTGTTGTAAGCACTACTTCCTGATATCAAATGCCATAGACAAATGGCCTTGCATCTAATTCTTCTACATCACAGTTTTTAATTGTTACAAATTATTTAGAATGATAATTAATTGGAGGGGAGACAAACAAATAAAAATTGAGACCACGCTGAAAATATGGGATTTTTTTTATTTCATTTAAACCTGAGGTAGAATATGTACTCTTAAAAAGTTATTTAAGAAATAATTAAAATAGTTACAAATAAAAAATATATTTAATTAATATATAAAAATATTTAAGCCAGTAATGTTCATAAATCATTTTGTGACACTGAAAATGTGAACTCTTTTTGCAGAAAGTCAGATGTTCTTGCTTACATTTAATAACAAATCTTCCTAGAAAATGTTGATCTTAAAATTGTATTCAGCGAGCTCAAGTGCTGCTGTCATTAAAACAAAAAGACGTTCCAAAATTCATAATTTTTCAATTCAACCTTTCACTCAAGTGCTCAAAATGACAAAACTCCTAAATGAGAAAAATGCAAAGAACAGCATTTTCGCAAGTGGTCTCCAACTTTTGGACCCCAGTGCATATCTGGGGTTAGATATGAGTTGACAAACTCAATGATGTCTGAGTTTCCCTGTAAAGCAGCAGGCCACTGTACCTCCTGGCACTACCTACAGATTAGATGGGATAAAAGAGGCCCCATGCTGACTGAAAGTGAGTGATAGTGCAATAGAAGCACTGAGTGAATGTAATAGATTATAGTCATGCTGACTGGTTATGAACAAAATGTATAGACAAACACACACACACACATAGGCCTACATACATTTCACATGCTACCTAGAAATTTAGTAATCTCCTGAAAGACAGTCAGATACACCCCCCCACACACACACACACACACACACATACAGTAATTAGCAAAGTGGCGAGACAGGCTTAGCAGCTCTGCCCACAAGCTTTAATTTACTAACATTTAATACGCTGCAATACAACAATTAATGCTTTGCTCAACCGAGTCCAAAGTGCACCTCCTAGACTGACAGACATGATGTAGGTTATACATTGTCTAAGGACAAAGTGCATTTTACATAAATTCTCTCTGCAAAACTGCATTACATAATCATCTTACATCACAACTTTTTACATTTGGAAACACACTGACATATGATGCACATTCATATTGTTCTGCAGTGAACATTAAGCTTTAAAAATTCATCTAGGGAGAAAACATATATAAAACATATTTTATACTTTAAAGAAACTGTATGGAGTATTTCTATAGAAATTTGGATTTAAAACACAAACCTATAGAGAGGGGAAAGTGTGAAAACTAGTCCCCTCTTCCCTCTATTTATGGTTTTAAATTGGGTTTTTATTTGTCAATTTGTCTTTGTTTTATTTCTAAACGTGTGAATGTAAGATATTGTATACAAAGCAGGGCCTCCTTCGTCTCCTCAGCGCGTCACGTCGTAACGCCGTTTCTGATTGGCTGCCGCGAAGCCGGACGGGGGCGTGGCGTACCGAGTGACGTTCGCGTTTGGAGTGAAGAGGGAGGGATATAAACTTGAAGACCGGCTCGCGTGATGATCATTTGAGGTCAAGTCTACACAGCATCACCAGAAACATCTCGAAGACCGACGTTTCAAAAGCAGAGAGAATCTGAAAAGAACACGCTATAGCCAGCGAGAGAGAGAAACGCACCAGTAAATCCAACATGAACGGGCAGATGAACGGTTTCCACAACTCCCTGATTGATGAAGACTGCTTTTTGTTCACGTCGGAGTCTGTCGGTGAAGGACACCCTGGTATGTATCATAACACGATTAACGTTACGTTATAAATAAGATTTTCGTGTCACAAGGTCGCGCGGAAGGCAAACACAGTCGGGCGCGAGATCCCTCAGCTAGCACGGGCTAATAGCTGCTGATAACTATTTTACATTTCTATACATGAAAACATATGCAATTACAACAGTTTATTATACTGTAATCATGTCAAGGGCAGGAAAAATGCGTTCTTCTTTAACGTACGCTGACTTGGGTAAAGTGGGAGGTAACGTTATTTGTCTCTGGCCTCGCGCGGCGGAGTCACCGGATTTGAGGCCCAAAGCTAATCTCACGAATGTAGGCCATGAACACTTATTCATAATTTTATTTTCGTTTTTGTAACTATGTATAAATAGAACTAATAGTCACAACATATTGGCTCCTAATAATTCTGCTTATTTCTATTTGAAGGCCGCGCGCTGTGTAGTGTGTTGTCGGCGGGCTCGCGGAACATGTGTTCATGTGTAATGCGGATACCTCGCGCGTGTTGTTGTTCTGCCGGTTTGTCCGGTTGCGTGTTTTACACGTCAAGACGAGCCTCCAACTTGTTCCAGTCCAAGAATTATAAATCATCATTCCCCTCATTACTTTTATTGGTCGTCTTTATTCACTGGCCTGTGAGATAAGCGAATATTAATGCCTGCGCGTGTCATCACCGCGTGCTTGTGCAAGCGTCGCTGCATGTATGTATCTTGTTCTCTCTATAAGCTGCTGTTTGTTTGACATTTTTTAGGTCGTCCCTGGGCTGTGACACCCCTACACGTGGTGTAAACTTTCCTTCTCGCTCAACTGGCCGCGACTATTGCGTCAGCGCACCTCTTAGGCCTGACACATACAATACACGAAAGCAAACGCCTCTAGCTAGCGATTTTAAGCGTCACTGAGTTCATACATTTTAGGGGCGTTCATACCGCACGCGGGATTTAGTGCAGTTTGCATATTTATTAATCGTTTGTGGTGCTTGTATATACAAATGCGCCTGACGTAACGTTACGTCTTTGACCATTGCGGCACGCTTCTATCTCTGCGTTTGATGCAGTACGTCAAATGAGTACTCAGTATTCATAAAACCGGGTGCGAACATGAGCCACATGACATAACGTTACTGGATTCGCTCAGATTCACAAGTATGCATTGAGGATTTGTAATTCAGTAATTATAGGACTGCATAAACTGAGTTGTCAGATTGGAAAAATTAAGAAAATGGCAAAGAACTGTGAAACCGGCAGATAGTGCTGTAGGTACCAAGAATAACATTTGGGTTAAATTGTAGTTTAAAACCAGTAGTCGGTAACTTGTCAACAGTTATTACCTCACAGGTCAAAGAACACACTGGTCACTGCAGACATGGCGTGATGCGTTTTTTTTCCAGGAATGTTTGCTACACACACCTCCATACTTCACCTACGGATGAGAAGTTAGTTCTTTATCCGATTTGGTATGTGCTCTGATTTAAGGTGTCAAGCACATCAGGTCAGATTTACCAAAAGCAGCCTTGGTTCCGGTAGTATTTTTCCCTTTGGGATTTTTAAAGTCTTTAGGAGTTATAAGCCATAAAACCAAATAGATACTAGCTGAATCACAATATGACAATCTTTGATTTAAAGCAAAGTATGTGGAAGTTGGACAAAAATACAAAGGTGCAAGATTAACTACAGTCCCATGAAGTATTTCAAGAGACATATTTGAAACAAATGATGGGAAAATGAAAGACTTCTGATTTTGTGTCTAAATGTATATTATAATACAGTATATTGTTTATTGCCTTTTCACTAGTGCTGGGGCGGTATGACCAAAAATTTATATCATGGTATTTTTCAAAATTATACCAGTTTCACGGTACATGACGGTATTTTTTTTTCATGCATGACCGGGTGTTAACCATATTTTCTACTGATTGCGAGAGGAAATACTGCAGTATATTGACTTAGAATGCCCTATTTTAGTGTCATGATGATATCATAACAAAAATAAACACCGGTATTCAGTATGAACCAGTATACCGCCCAGCACTACCGCTCACACCTAAATATTTAAGTAATTTGAGTGGGCGGGTACTGAAGTGCTTTTTTGGAGCTGGTTATGATTCTCTGATTAGAATCAGAATGAGCTTTATTGCCAGGTATGTTTACACATACGAGGAATTTGTTTTAGTGACAGAAGCTTGGGAAAGTTAGACCTCGCGTTCGCGAGACAGCACTGGCGAAATCTTACAACTGAACCATAGCTAAGGTTTATCCGAAAAAGTCGCTGGGTTTGTCAGTATGAATATTCTATGGAAAAAAGCCACTAAAAGGGTCTGAAAGTTGCTAAGTCTAGTGCTAAAGTCGCGCTCGTGTGTGTGTGTGTGTGAGACGCGGGAGCTGATGGCAGGGTGCGGGGGATATTTGGGCGGTTAATGTGGATATTGTGGATGAAGGGAGGGTTGTACCAGTGATTCGCTCAGCAGTCCGAGAATCTGAATCAGAATCTGACTTCTGAGGTCAGATTTGGTAGCTGAGCTGAACCGGACCGTTATAGAAGTGCAGAGGACAGATTCAACGATGGTGGCGTAGAACTGTTTCAGCAGCTCTTGAGGCAGGTTGAACTTCGTTGTTGAAACTTAGTGGAAGTTTCTTTGCGGTATCATGGGTAATGTAGTTTTTCCACAAGAAATTCCGCTAATAAACTAAAAAAAAAAAAAAAAAGCTGAGATAACATGGGCTGATGGATAAAAAAAACATGCCATCGATTAACTACCTCGTAGCTCACAATAGGTCTATGTAGTGTTGTCACGGTACCAACATTTCAGTATTCGGTACCGATACCAGTGAAAATCCACGGTTCTCGGTACCAATTTCGGTACCAAAGCAAAACATAAAAACATACCGAAATACCGGGTCTTTTGACAACACTAGGTCTATGAATTGCTGTTAAAATGAATTCATATGGAGAAAATGAACATGACTCTTTTAGATTTCTTGCAGAACAACTGTTTCACTATTACGAGATGACAAGTCAGGGCTCAATTTTTCGAGGTTGTAAAAAGCACTCGCATCCTTGTAGAAATCTTAGTTACAAGTCTGACGCTTGTAATTGTGGTGCTTCTGACATGGTGTGGAAGCAACGTTATTGAAAAAATAACTTTTGATTGGGCCTGAGGTGTTTACAGCGGGGGGGCATTCTAGTTCTCAACCATTTGATTGGACAAATCTGTTAACTAGTACAGGACGAGTCATCAATATTTACATTTAGCAGTAAACAACATAAAGATGGCATCAAATCTAGTGTGTGTGTGTGTGTGTGTGTGTGTACTAAAAGCTGCAAAACTTGATTTCATCAGCGTTTTAAAACAGTTTCTCAATCAGATCAACCACTATCATGGGGTGACAGTCAAAGAATGTTGTAAAGCAAGTTCAGTGACACCAAATGTTTGGGAAACTGAGGGATGTTACAGTCACAACATCGCAAGGGTGCACTTTGTTCCATGAGATCACATGTTTGCAGTGAGTTGGCCAAGCATTTGTGTACAATTGTAAAGTGAGTAAAGTTTGTTTGTGGACAGGTCTGCCGTATCATGTTTTTGTCATTGTGGACTGACGCCTGTACACATGGTGTGACCTTCCCCCTCTCGCTCCACTGCCCTCACTACTGCATCAGTGCGCTTTCTAATGAGCTCAGCACAGGTCTAAGTTCAGAGCTGATGGTGTGGGGGAGGGTTAGCAGCCCCGCTGCAGCTGATTAGCTTGGCTTACCTCTGCCCTAAATATAGATGGTTACTCCAGGGACTGCAGTGGGGTGGCAGTTTGGGCATTAGAGAGGCCGTACTGCAGTGAGCTAATGTACTTCACCTGTTGTATGGAAATAATTTATGGAGGCAACTGAGGCATTAGCAACGTCCTTGTCTATTGTTTTTAAGCCATTTCTTGGCTCGCATGAGGCTTGTAAGCTCAATCGTGTAATGGCACTGTTGTCATTGAAGTGCTTTCAGAGTTTTTTTTTTACATTTGCTGGAGATATAAAGGTTTATTATAGTAAACTAAAACCATAAAGACATTTTTGTACTTTAAATATTAACTAAAAATAAAATGTACAAAAACCTATAATTTTGTGAAATTATTTTTTCTCCATGACAAATGATTCAGTTGCCAAGGAAATATCTTTCATTTAGGTTTAACTTGATGTATTAAAATGAGTAACAAAAAAAAAACTAAGATGCCAAAAAACACATTAATTTTAATGTTATTTTAATATATTTATAATGTTATATACATGAGGGCTTTGTTATCTTATAAATCTTATCATCTAAAAAATTATTTTTACAATATATCCCAAGCTTGCCATTTTAACATTATTTGAGTTGAGCAAATCCAAAATCCAGTTATGCCTTTGGAGGTGGTTGCCATTTATATTGAGTCTCGTTTAACCTGAATTCTATGCTCTAATTGGCTGATTAAATAGTTACACCTCTCATTCCTCTGTTCCAGATAAGATTTGTGACCAGATCAGTGACGCTGTGTTGGACGCCCACCTCAAACAGGATCCTGATGCCAAAGTAGCATGTGGTGAGTGTCAAATTATGCTTACCTGCACGCTTTTCTCCATGCTTGCAACTTGAATCTTTTTACTGTGTGCTCTAACCCCCTTCAATCTGTCCTGGCAGAGACTGTTGCCAAGACTGGAATGATCTTACTGGCCGGTGAGATCACCTCTCGTGCTGTCGTGGATTATCAGAAGGTTGTCAGGGACACCATCAAGCACATTGGATACGATGACTCTTCCAAAGGTATAGCGGCACTAAATGTCAGGGGAAAGAGTGCTACTATGCTGCCATAATACTTGCAGAATTTACGACACTGCATAATCTGTGGGTTTATGATTTTTGTATTAGCTGCCAGTTGGATTTAGGGTAGAATTAATCAGCTTTTTATTGTACTTTTAGGGTTTGACTTCAAGACATGCAATGTGCTTGTGGCTCTTGAGCAGCAGTCACCTGATATTGCTCAGGGGGTTCACCTTGACCGCAGTGAAGAGGATGTTGGAGCTGGAGACCAAGTAAGAGCTACATAATGACTTTCTTTGTTCATATGCCAGGATGTGAATTGGTTTATAAGGAGAATCTAGATCTTATCTTTACTGGATTGACTGAGTACTTTGCTTCTTAGGGCTTGATGTTCGGTTATGCCACTGATGAGACTGAGGAGTGTATGCCTCTCACTATTGTCCTGGCCCACAAGCTGAACGCTAAAATGGCTGAACTACGCCGCGACGGCACCCTGTCCTGGCTGCGACCTGATTCCAAGACCCAGGTGAGAATGTCATTGGAAATCAGTAGCAAAATATACTATTCTACAAAGGTTTCGGGTCAGTAAGAGAGGGAAACTTTTTTTTATTTTATTATAATTTTTTTTTATTAAAAAATGCAGTAAATTAATCAAAAGTGAGAGTAAAGACAATGTTACAAAAGATTTCCATTTGAAATCGGCTGTTTACTTTTCTGTTTCTAGCTTTCTAAAAATGAACCATTTCCACAAAAGATTGATAATTGATATGTTTCTTGAGCAGCATATCAACCTACTAGAATGATTTCTGAAGTATAATGTGACACTGAAGACCAGAGTAATTATGTTGAAAATTCAGGTTTGCATCACGGGAATAAATTACATTTTAAAAATATATCCACATAGAAAACAGTTGTTTTAAACTGTAATATTTCACAATATTACTGTTTTTAGTCTATTGATGATCAAATAAATGCAGCCTTGGGTGAGCATCAGAGACTTTTCAAAAATATGTAAATCTCAATTATTCCAAACCTTTGAACGGTAGTGTATTACTACTGTAGGACTGAGATTTTATGCCTGTATCTTGTAGTGATTGTAACCATTCAGCTCAACTTCTGTTACTTTGTTCTCTAGGTGACGGTCCAGTACAGGCAGGACCGTGGGGCCATGATTCCGGTGCGTGTGCACACCATTGTGGTGTCTGTTCAGCATGATGAAGGAGTGTGTCTGGATGAGATGCGTGATGCTCTGAAGGAGAAGGTGGTGAAAGCTGTGGTGCCCAGCGTCTACCTGGATGATGACACCATCTATCACCTGCAGCCCAGCGGACGCTTTGTCATCGGAGGCCCACAGGTTTAAACTAAAACAATAACAGTGCAGTTTTTCGTGGGGTTCCTATGGGCATGGAAAAGCGGGAAAGAATTTCTTTGAATTTATTAATTTTTTTTATCGTTTATATCCGATTATAATCGAAGTAATAGGTGTGGGAACTGAAGTGTATGTATTATTGGCTTTTTTGTGTATGTATAATGCATTATGGGCTATTTTTATTTCTTTTTCCCACTTTTTATTTCCCTAGATGTGGTGTTTGTTCAAACTGTAAGATTCTGATTTATTCATGCTGTTTTTACAGGGAGATGCTGGTTTGACTGGCCGCAAGATTATCGTGGACACATACGGAGGCTGGGGCGCTCATGGAGGCGGCGCTTTCTCTGGGAAGGATTACACTAAAGTTGACCGTTCAGCTGCCTATGCGGCCCGCTGGGTGGCCAAGTCTCTGGTGAAGGCTGATCTGTGCAAGCGTGTCCTGGTCCAGGTGAATATTTAGCAGTCTTTCACCATGCAATAGTGAAGGGATTAGGGTTGGGCGATGTCTACAAAATTGGCATCGGACGATGTCTAGAGTGAAACATCGCGATGGACGATAACATCGGGGGGAGGGGCGCCCGAAGCATGAATCTGTATTCCGAAAGGCACGGAATACAAATAACAATTGCTAACGGTTGCCTGTTGTATCTCGATACTGGCTAAACATCGTGATATCTATCAGCCATCGGCGAAGGACAATGGCATCGTCTGTCGGCCCAACCCTAGAAGGGATAAGTACACTCTTACCAATATACCGGTTTTCTTAGGTGTCCTATGCCATTGGAGTGGCCCACCCCTTGTCCATATCCATCTTCCACTATGGAACCTCCCAGAGGAGCGAGAAGGAGCTGCTGGAGATCGTGAAGAAGAACTTTGACCTCCGCCCGGGCGTCATTGTCAGGTAAAGTGTGTTCCTCGGGGGCAGCCCAACCACCGCCTTTCGGTTTGATGGTTTCCCAGTCATCTTTTGCTCCCGCGTTTCCTGAGTTTGGTCTTTTGCACAGTTAACGTTAGAGAGGCTGATTGAGTTAACTGAACGTCCTTCTTTGTGCGTGTGGCAATTGTCTTACTCTGTCTCCTGTGCAATTCCAGAGAGCTGGACCTGAAGAGGCCCATCTACCAGCACACCGCCGCCTATGGCCACTTTGGCCGCGAGTCCTTCCCCTGGGAAGTTCCCAAAAAGCTTAAATACTAAATCTGTAACCCCCCCTCCTTTCATTGGGCGGTAGGTGTACATTACAGAGAAACCTACTCAACCCATCGGAGGGGGGAGATGTACCAAAACCCCTCACTCCTAACCTCACACCCGTTCCCAAAGGTAATTCACCTCCAATGGCATTCTCCCCATACAACTCCACCTTCAACCCTGTTTGCTGTATTGTTTTCGAAATATCTGTGGATGGTGGCTTTTTTTTTTTTTTTTTTTTTTTGTTTTTTTTTTA